AGAGAGAGGCGCGGGAGCGCGCACGGGCGGAACGGGGCACCCGCGGGGCGCGCGCGCACCGTGCTGGCGGGGGAGGGCGGCGCGCGCATGCGCCGCCGGGGCCGCGCCCGCCCCTTTCCCGCCGCCGCCGCACCTGAGGCGCGCGGGGCGCAGGTGAGGCGGGGCCGCGGGGCGCATGCGCGGGGAGAGCGGCGCGCGCTCGTTATCCCGCGCCGCTAATTAGCGACCGCGCCGTCATTAGCGCCGGCGGTTGTGTGAGGGGCTAGATGGAGCGCCCCGGCTGCCCCTCAGCCCATTGCTGCGCGCGGGTAATCAGCGAGCCCGCCGTTAATTGGCGCGGCCAGGTGAGGCGGGCAGGTGGAGCCCTCACGGAGCCCTCACCGCTGAGCTCCGGCCGGCGGTTCGGGATCGCACCCCGAGCAGCACAGGCCGTGCGACAAGGAGCACACCTGCGGCAGGTACCCGGTGCCAGGTGCAGGTATCCCAAGCAGTGCAGGCTATGGGACAAGGAGCACGCCTGCGGCAGGTACCCGGTGCCAGGTGCAGGTATCCCATGCAGTGCAGGCTATGGGACAAGGAGCACACCTGTGGCAGGTACCCGGTGCCAGGTGCGGGCACCCCGAGCAGCACAGGCACCCCAAGCAGCATGGGCTGTGCCACAAGGAGCACACCTGTGGCAGGTACCCAGTGCCAGATGTGGGCATCCCGAGCAGCGCGGGCACCGTGAGCATCACGGGCCGTGCCACAAGGAGCACACCTGGGCACACCTGTGGCAGGTACCCGGTGCCGGGTGCGGGCACCCCGAGCAGCGCAGGCCATGGGACAAGGAGCACACCTGGGCACACCTGTGGCAGGTACCCGGTGCCAGGTGCGGGCACCCCGAGCAGCGCAGGCCATGGGACAAGGAGCACACCTGGGCACACCTGCAGCAGGTACCCCGTGCCAGGTGCGGGCCGTGCCACAAGGAGCACACCTGTGGCAGGTACCCGGTGCCAGGTGCGGGCACCCTGAGCAGCGCAGGCCATGGGACAAGGAGCACACCTGCGGCAGGTACCCCGTGCCAGGTGCGGGCACCCCGAGCAGCACGGGCTGTGCCACAAGGAGCACACCTGGGCACACCTGCAGCAGGTACCCCGTGCCAGGTGCGGGCCGTGCCACAAGGGCATGCCTGCGGCAGGTGCCGGGTGCGGGCACCCCGAGCAGCGCAGGCCATGGGACAAGGAGCACACCTGGGCACACCTGCAGCAGGTACCTGGTGCCAGGTGCGGGCACCCCGAGCAGCGCAGGCCATGGGACAAGGCGCACACCTGGGCACACCTGTGGCAGGTACCCGGTGCCAGGTGCGGGCACCCCGAGCAGTGCAGGCCA